TCTGACGCGTCTGCCTCCGCGACCCGAAAGGAGAAGCGGCGATGGAAGATGAAGATGAAGATGAAGAGATTTAAACAACATGAAAGATTCTTGAAGCCTAATTCGTCGTTTACACAAGCTTTAACAAAGCCGGATTCACGTATCATGAGAATGGCAGTGATGTTATCACAGTCTAAGATCTTCAAAAACTTTATATCAATATGGCATGGGTGGTCAGTAGCTAGCTTTACAATAGCCGCATATGCTCACTGTCCATGCTCAAAAGCTGCTATATGTTCCTTTATATGGCTGGAACCGGTCTCCTTGTCACATCAATATAAATTTTTCGATAACCTTTATAATCCATTTGGCACTTTCCCGTATCTCTTGAAAAAGTTCAGACAAACAGTCCCGGTGGCATTACCTGATAACAGAGGTTTTCTGAAGTAGTTCACGACTGAGGTTCAACGGAACATCTTCGCTGTCGATCACACCGCGCAGAAAACGCAACCACGGAGGCAAGATATCCTTGGTGTTAGGCTGAATGAGTACACGTCGAGAGTAGAGTGACACGCTTGAATGCATGTCCTGCGTGCGCATGAACAAACTGGGTCCGGTTTCAGGAGTGTAGAGCAGCGCGGATATATTCAGGGGAGCATCAGTCTGAAACAGGGTGAAATAAGCAACAGGGTGCAGCAGGCAGACACTCGCTCACCTTAAAATGGTATGTATAATACGGCTTATCGTCCTTGGTATGAGAGATGAAATTGTAGAAATCCGCGTGCATCTTGTCAGTAATCGATTTTGGATCCAGTATCCAGATTGCCTCAACAGTGTTTATCCTTTTGCCATTGAGTACGATCGGAAAACCGATAAAACTGCTGTATTTGTTAATAATTTCTAAGTATGTAAAAATTAAATTACAATATGCAGAGAATAACTTAGCCAAGTTCTTCACAAATTTAAACATGTCCCCAAGTCATGGAGATCAGGCAAAGACAAAAATGTGCCATTGTATCCATGGAGGACACACGCGGAATGTAACACTACATCTATGAAGGCCTTCATGAATCTTGTGACCGGGGAAATTCAAATATCAGATTCACAGTCGAGATCCCTCGCTGGATCAATCCTCGGACAGATACCTCGGTTTACACCATTTTTAGACAAATGAGTACTGCAGCATTGGAAAAAGACAGACCATGCACTACAGTATCAAGTGGATGTATAAATGGTCTTAAAAAGTAAAGCAGAAGGAGACACTAGCTAATGACAAAGAAAAAGACATTAGTGCTGCACCGTAAATTCGTGAAGGCGAATACCACAAATTTTGCAAATCCATGGTATTGTGAAAGAGAACGACATTCCACGGTAAAAAACTTCCCATCGTTCCATTTTAATAAAGTTTAAAAAGTCGGATAAAGAAGTAATTGTTATTGTTGTCCGGCAGGTCTTCTTATGACTTGAAGCAAATCGATCAATAACAAGGATACACTGAATCGAACTTAAGAGAGAATTACTAGAGGTTGTCGGCTGTTCATTACTGAGAAAAAGCATGGCGAAATATTATTCCGTCTAATTCTGGACAAAACGTAGATACGGATTTGACTGAACATTTTCTATCACAGAAGGAAGGAATTAAGGAGATAAGACGAAAATAAGGAAAATTTTTAATCACTGGTTATCAGTTATTGGCCATCTTACAATACCTGATGGGCGTCACTGGTGATAATCGCCTGGGACTGTCAATCAGCTGAATGTAATTACACATCGCTGAGATGTGTTATGATGCCACCAATCAGGAGTGTCTTACTATTCTGAAAATAACATCCACATTTAGATGACGACTCTTTTTCCGTTCCTAAGAAATGATACACCTATCTACATCTTAAGAATGAAGGGCTAGCGAGATTTAAATTGTGAACCTGATGCTCTACTCTCTGGCCTATCCTGATTCAATAAGAAAGTCGAAATTCAATCCAGATCCTAGAAATAACAATATTAGGTATCCGGAAAATCAGAAATAAAAAGCCTTTAACTTGATCCTCTGTTCAAAGAATTGATTAATAAACACCCCTCCACCAATCTTCATCCTCTTAGAAATGTTAACTGGCTCTTAGTGATGCTAATTAGAGATGCTCCAATACAATTCAGGATGGAATCCGTCCAGCTTCCTCTTGATGGAATCCGTTCAGCTTCTTCCAATAGAGTCACCTCTTGATATGATAACGAGTATAAGTCATCCTCAGAATACAAAGCAGAAGACGTGATAATGAGATTTCATCATGCATTATGAAGAATGATGCAGGCGCTGATTCCACGCTTTATCTACGAAAATATCTACATCGTTACATGTCTGCTTTGGTGTTCAAGACAACACTCAATATCTCAGAAAACCTTATGAAAAACACACTGCCACAATTCGATTTATCATGTGATTTTTCACTTTCGTCACCTGCAGACCTTGTGACGTGAACTTCGAGGTTAGCGAAGAATTACTTGTGACATTGCTGTC